GATCGTTTACCGTTCTGGTAGACGTATTGTTGTGGGTTTATCCTACCTACACTAATAGCTAGAGTTGCCGTGGGAATTACAACACCACAGGCGCCTACTACTTTTCGTGTATGGATTTAATGTCAGCATACTACCAAGTGCGAATGAAGATTATTCATGTCAAGTACACGGCGTTCCAAGCTCCAAGCGGTCTCTATGTATATCTGGTGCTACCCATGGGAGTCAGCAATACCCCTCCAACTATGCATAGGCTGACATCGTCATTGTTCAAAGAGTTGTCGCACACCAGATAATTCTACGATGACATCTACGTGTTCACGAAGTCGAAGAATATCAACGAGCACCTACAAGCCCTACGCGACGTGCTAGAGATTTCGAAGAAAAACAAGCTGTACGTGAAGTTGTCCAAGTACGTGGTTTGTGCTGAAGAGATCCCGTGTCTCGGTGACTTTATCGGCAGGAACGGAGTCCGTCCAAAGTGCAGACAATTCGCGATTGGCTGGTCCCAAGGACGCAAGAACAACTCCACATATTTCTCGGTTTAACTGGATACGTGCAACGATTCTGTGAGCAGTACGCTGAGTTGACGGCACTACTGTTTACTCTGTTGAAGAAGAAAAACCAGCGAAACTCGAAGATTACACTGAGTGCAGTGCAGTTAAAGAACTTCAAGGATCTGAAACGATGACTTTTCGACACGCCAGCTCTCCACTTACCTGACTTCACGATGCAGATGCACTTACGAACGGATGCAAGCCAGTTTGCCGAGGGTGGTGCACTCTTCCAAGTCGTTAGTGGAATCGAACGTCCAATCGCTTATACCAGCCGAAAGATGAAGTCAGCAGAGCTGAAGTACCCAACTCAGCAGCAGGAACTACTCGCGATTGTTAACGCGTTTGCAGCGTTTTGCATCTACTGTCTGGATCAACCAGTGATGATCGAGACGGACCACAAGTCGCTTGAGGGGATTTTTCAGCAGTATACGGCGAATCGAAGATTAATTCGATGGTATGACATTCTCGCGAAGTATCAACCAGTTTTCGCGTATCTGTCGGGAGCGAAGAAT